TTTTTCTGGGTTCTTTTGAAAAGGTACCATTTCTCTGTAATGATTTATCGAATTATGGATACCTGTTAGTCGCCGATATTTGTTCCTACTTCACAAATCCTACCCTCTATTCGGCAAGATTTGTTAACAAATTCCTCATGACAATTGAAAGCGTTTGGTTAATTCTCTTTTTTTTCTGTTCTATCATTTTCTTTTCAGCTTCGCGTAACTATTTTTCGGGTCAGTTAAAGGACTACTAAACAAAGCTCTTTTTTTTTGGTTATGTTTTAAAAAAAAATGGTTTTTTCAACTCCGTGAATGTCTGTTTAACAGGTTGATTATGGCGAATGTTTCAGAGTATTCAACAATCCCAACGTAACGGTGCACTTCAACACCGAGACTGTGGATGTTGTGAGCAACACAAAGGATCAGATGTCGGGCGTTTTGGTCAGAAATGTCGACACTAAAGAGGAATCGGTTTTGGAGGTAAAAGGCCTTTTTTATGGAATTGGCCATTCTCCTAACAGCCAATTACTTGAAAGTCAAGTCGAACTTGATGCTGCTGGTTACGTTTTGGTAGAGGAAGGGTCTGCAAAAACATCGGTCGAGGGCGTGTTTGCTGCTGGAGATGTGCAGGTTTTTTTTTTTTTTACTCCACCGAACAAAATTTTCCATGCTTTAAATAGAGTTGTCTTCCTTAAGTTTCTTGTTTGTATCATATTTTCTGATTTTTTGTGAGTGAAGGACCATGAATGGAGGCAAGCTGTAACTGCAGCTGGATCGGGATGTATTGCAGCTCTATCAGTCGAGAGATACCTTACGAGCAAAGATCTTCTGATTGAATTTCACCAGGCATGTTATTAATTCTTGTGTTAAATCTTGGAAAACCGAGACTCGACAAGAGTTCTATATACCATCCATCAGGAAACTCATCCATCTACCTTCGTTCTCGATATGTATTCCTAGGATTGAGTACCTTATCATATTCCTTTATTTTTTTTTCCTTAGTAAACAAAGAAGTTTGCTTCCACCTTTTCTTATTCTCCCACCTTTTTATGTCGAACAAACTGTAGCCGGCACCTGAAGAAGTTAAGAAAGAACTTACCGACCGAGACGTACAAGAAGGGTTTGATATCACGCTGACCAAACACAGGGGCCAGGTATGATATCCTGCTTCAAGAAGTTCGAAAATATACTTATTACAAATCCAGCTTTGGGGTTGTAACTAATCAGAAAAACGCCTACTTTATCACGATAGGTTCGGTTTATTTTATAACACGTCAAGTGGGGTTTTTTCTAATTCCGAAAAACGATTGGAAATTTCTTTCACGAATTAGGCTAAACTATCCTTGCTCGTTCGTTTTGACTTTTCTGATTCTTTTCTGGATGACAGTATGCTCTTCGGAAGTTGTATCACGAGAGCCCAAGACTTCTTTGTGTGCTATATACGGCACCAACATGCGGTCCTTGTAGGACCTTAAAACCGATACTTTTCAAGGTTATTATAAATATTGAGACAAAGATGCTATCTCAATGTTTTGAGTTTGAGATTCTATGTTGGTTTGATCGAAACAAACTCGTTTTTGTAGGTCATAGATGAATTTGATCAAAATGTACATTTTGTTGAGATCGATATTGAGGAGGATCCTGAGATTGCCGAGGCTGCTGGAATCATGGGCACACCTTGTGTCCAGTTTTTCAAGAACAAAGAGATGATCAGGTTTGTCGAATTTAATTCATTTTATTATTTATTTATTTTTTTAAATTATCAAAGAAGAGGAATCCATTGCATCGGCTTAATTACAACTCAATAACCACAATTTCGCCTGAAAATGTTGAATTCATCATTTTTTACTGATTTAACGTGAACTTTGCAGGACTGTGTCGGGCGTCAAAATGAAGAAGGAATACCGAGAGTTTATCGAAGCAAATAAATGATTTTTAAGAGGCAGCACTTAAATCTCACCTTCTCTCTGCTTTTCTGAGATTCAGTTTTGATACGATATGGCCAATTTGTGCGTAAGATGTATTTTTGGTAGTCATTACAGATTTAGTACATTCAGAGTAGCCACTGAGCTCCCATTGTATAATAATAAACATACAATTTTTCAGAATTTCAGATCTGGTAAACTTGGTTATTGTTATTCAAACCTGCAAAATAGCAGTTATTCTCAGAAAATCACTGCTAAAAGTTTAGTCTAACAATGGAAGTATTTAAACACTTTAGGAAAAGTTTATATAAACATGTTAGGGTATCTTAACAATCAACCTTTACTCGATCCAATTCGTAACAAATGAACGAATGTTAAATGCACGAGGAGATCATCAAGGATTACATAGCACAATAATGAACCTCACTCTATTCAAATGGCTTGAGGGACATCATCAAGGATGAAAGGACCAAGTTTGCCTGTTCTGAACAATGTGAGGAATTTCTTAGAGACAATCGTACGAGCCTCAGAGGCTTTATGAGGTATTTTCAGTGCCTTCTGCAAAGCTTCAAACTGCTGTTCTATAAGATTCCCCAAGTCACCTTCATCCTCTAAGCTCCCATCGAACTCTGTTAGGGTCTCGCAAAGCGCTCCTTGAACGTGACTCACTAAGTCCTGCAAAACTTACAAACTCAGNAAAAAAAAAAAAAAAAACAAAAACAAAACAAAAAAGAAACTAGAAAATATAGTTCTCAGGGTTTAGCCTAGCATTAAAAAGATTTTGTTCCACAAATTCCAACTGTTTTGACAGTTAACTTGTAAAAGAACTATATAAGTACAAAGTTTGAGTATTTTTCATGTAGTTAGTTACCTCAATGTAGTAAACATCAGATTTGTCACTAGGAGTCTTTTTCCTCTTCGGCAAAAGACCTTTAAGGTCATAATCGGGTTTCTCATCGAGATTATGATGGTGAGCTTCATTTTCTCGACTCAAGTGCCTCCAGTGTAGAGGAGTGCCTCTCGTATTCAAGACAGCTAGTAAATACTGAGTTATCCGCTCTTCACCAACTACAGAATCCTTAACAGAACCTGCACAAGTAAAACCAAAAATTAGGGGGGGGGTGAATTTGTATTTACTTAAAATGCGGGGGAGAAAAAAACCTGCTGAAGCTAGCTTTAACCCAGTCTCTATATCTGGAATACTTGGAACCAACACTCCTGGTGTATCCAAAACGTATATGCTCGGTTGATGAGCAATCTGAAATGACATTATTTTCAAAGACTTTAAGAGTTTAGTTACACAAAAATGACCCAGCACCGAATCTTCTAATACCAATTCTTGTAATAGAACTTAAAATCTTTTGAGGCGTGTCATATATCATGCAAGGTGAGGAATATGTACAATTATGTCCCTGATTTATTTCTCCTCTATGCACCAAGGAGAAAATTTCGAACACCATTTTCATCTCTATTCTTATTGGGCAGAAAGATTTACCTTAAATCCAGCAATATCTTGTGTAACTCCAGGTAAAGGTCCCACCCTAGCTCTTTTCTTCTTCTCCTGCACTAAGATGGAACTAAGACTAATCAATTATCATGCTTTTGCTAAAAGCTAGACTGAATAATGACAGCTTATACGAAATGCTGGTTAGAACCTCACCAGGAAATCGAGATGATGCTATTTGATGAACGGAATTAATTAAAGCCGATTTGCCAACATTAGGCACACCGACCACCAGTACAAGAAGAGTGGGCTCCCGAGATATAGCTTCCTTCAATTTGTACTCCACAAGATCAAGAAGCTTTATTTTGGGCCACAGTATTTTAAGTCAGAACAAGAACAAAATCTTGAAAAATTTAAATGTTTATAATAAAATATTAAAAGCAGAACAGACCTTTCTAACAGAACTTCTGCTGTGTGCATTAATTGGAAGACAATCTTGCTTGCATGAATCGAAATAGCTAGTCCATTTCTGCAGATAATGAAATGAGCAAACACATTATTCTTCACTCAACAATTCCTGGAATATTATCCCCCTCCCTGTACACGAGCTCACACTGCCATTCTAAAAATTTACATTCTTTTACATCCTACACAAAATTCACTTTCAAACTCAACCTTTTGCATTCCTTTTGCTGAGTGTTTTTTGCATCTCAATGTAGTTTGTCTAGGAAGTGATTCTCAATTCTCACTTCTCAATTCTAACCTCAACACACACATACACACATATAAACTATGAAGAAACTAAATTAAATAAATAGAATGTGACATTAGTTGATCGAACAATAATATATACAATTAGACATGTGTTCCTTGGACCATAAGGGACTTACATGCATGATGTTGGGGTTGGCCAAATCTTTCTTATTTAGAGCAATCACACGTCTCTTCCCTGCCAGCATAGGTTGCAATTCCTCATTCGCAGATGACAGAGGTATCTACATAATTTCAAACAAAAAGTAACACACAAATACAAAACCTATTTGCACAAAAAGCTGGAGACTCTATTCTCCAATATTAATAATACAATGGCAACAAGTTTTACAGCCCAAAATTATTTAAGCAACAAGTCACTCGAGATTAACAGACACCATCTCTTTCGAGGTGATTTGATGGACCGAACAAATAAAGCTTCAACAACCATTTCTGTCTCTCTCTCTAATCAAGAAAAAGACCAGCAAGCCAGAAA